ATACAGGTATAACCATCCTAAAAAATGGAAAAAAAAGACTATTCTTATTCTTATTTTCAAACCAAAAAAATAATTGAATTGACCATGTAGTGTATACTCGGGAAAAAACTTTGCAACTGCACTTTGGTCTAGAAGTTTCTTTTCTTTTTATAACAATAATCAAATAATAGCAATTACAAGCTTGGTTTTGCAAAGTTAATTACACAAAACGTAAATGTTTGTCAGGGTTTTTTGTCAACCTAAACAGCTCATGCAGAGCCAGTTTAAGCGCTATTAAACCTCCATTTCTAGTTTTTTTTTTTTGTGTCTCAATGAGTCAATTTGATGGGTTCACTTGCTCAGATTTTCACTTCTTAGAGGAGCACCTCTTTTCGTTATTGGATGTAAACCCGTAGCTGGCCCTAGGCTGCCATAAACGCTTAGCGAAAGTAGACCGTTCGTTCAGAGAAGTAAATCTAAGTTCAAGTTGGCCCTACAAAATGACCGATAAAGCTAGGAAAAGGTAGGAAACAATACTGATTGATTAATGGGTTTTTCTTCCTGAAACACCTTGTATTTATGGTATCTACTATATAAAGACGATATCGATTCATTTGTTTAACATAAATATTCTTATTTTTGCATATTTTGATGAGTGCCATTTACACTTAATAACAATGTTCAAATGGTTTGCAAGTTAACGCAAATTTCGCAATAAGTCGAGTGCCAAAAGAGGGCGTACTACTAGCTCGTAATTTTGCAGCAAAAATAAACAAGTTGAGCACGATTTGCCTAAATCCTTTTTGCACTGACGGTGTTGTAAAACATCATCAGAGTTAAAGACAGTGGATGCAACTTTCTGCTTCTAACATAACCTACAATTTTCTTTGAAATTCTCTGCTGAATCTAGGATTTACAGAAAATTTTGTATGTTGGCGTGCACAAAAATAACTTCTCACTCTTTTGGAAGCAGTTGAAATCAGACTGCATACACTTGAAAACAGCTATTTCTTAAATAAGTTTACACTCAGCAGAAAATAGCTCCAGCTAGCAGGCTTATTCAGCATAATTCAATTCCTTGATATAATAAACATCCTAAGCTAAGAACTGTAGGTGCAAAAATTAATTTTCAGAATATCTCAAATGCAACTCCGGTCATGTTTGTTATAAATTAAGGTAACCTAAGTACTGGCCTCCTTACGCAACTTTTCTGACGATTAGATGGGCGACTATGTTTACTGAGTTTTATACAATGGGATGTGGGCTTTCTCGAGTAAATATGATGGTAGTTCGTTGGGTAACGGATCTCAGGTAGAGATTTACTTTCATGATCCATCCACACAAAGCAAACTATCTGCTGACATATCTCCATCACCCATAATTGTAACTTTTCATTATTGTGCGTCAAATCGTCACACTTCACTGATACACATCAAGCCCGTAGTTGGGCACTTGAAAAACTAGTAAAGCACATCGGTTTCGCACTGTTCTCTAAACAACAAGTTAAAACGGATGTGCACTAAAAATTTGAAAACACTGCGTTTCTCAAATTACGAGGTCAGTTACTAGTAGCTTGGTACAAAGCTCTTGAAATGATAAGTTCTCTACGCACTAGGGTAACCTTATCTCTCCTTC